ACAAAGGGCATCGCTACTAGGAGCAAGAAGCTACTAGTAACAAGTGCCACGCTTCTAGTAACAAGTGCCTTACTAGTAGTAACAAGGTTCGCTATTAAATTGATAGCTTTTTGTTACTAGTAGTAAGGCACCTGTTACTAGTAGCGTGGCACTTGTAACTAAATTGCTTGTTTCTCTCATCCGGTCAGGGAGTCACACACCATGAGCATGGGTGAGACCGATCCTAGCGGGCCGAAGCTCAACCACTCCTCCAGCCGCTTGGACCAACGGCCGAAGCGTCTCTTTGTCGCCGACGAACAGGATGAATGGACAGAAGGCCAAGACGTTTCTTGATTTTTCAGACGGACTGCACGAGTTTCAGACGGACCTTGAACTCAACTTTGGATTGCTTCTTTGTTACAGTTTGTTCGATTTTTTCGGTGTTGCTTTTGGCTTTTCTGGAGTGCCGCCCTGAGGCTTTCAATTGGGTGTGGCGGTTCGGCTGCTAGCGGAGTGTCAGGAGATGCTCCATTTCACTTCTGTTCGTTCTCGGTTTCGCCCACTGAGACTTTTTGTGTACATGGAGGATTAGGTTGGGTTTAGGACGGCTTCTTTCTGGAAAGCTCCAAATGCTCCGTTCGTAGCGATGCCAGGAGCCCCCAGTAGCTTCTTGTTCCTAGTAGCGATGCCCTTGCTCCTAGTAGCTTCTTGTTGCTAGTAGTAAGAATGCTCCTAGTAGTAAGGCCAGGAGCCCCTAGTAGCGTCCTTGCTCCTAGTAGCGATGCCAGGAGCCCCGTTCGTAGTTTGAGCTGATCTCGACTCATCCCGAGAGTGTTCCTTTTTCTATTGCTTCCCCTCCGCTGCGGGGACCTGTGTTTTTGGTGAATTGTAGTGGGAAACTCACTTGGATTTTCACTGCAAAAACAGATTGCCTGTGCCAATTGTCGTTGAAGCTTCCGGTATGCCAAGTGCTAACCATCAGCAGAAAATAAAGGCGCGACTGACACTCCACAAGGAAAACAATACTAGCTTGTACTTTGGCGTTTTGTTTTCTTTTGCTGCTATTTCTGTAGGTTTTCCTATGTTTCAGCAAGCCAACCAATTTTTGACTTGCCTAGTTTGGAAGGAGATATAAATTGCAAATATTGAATACAGATGAATACAGCATGTTATTGTGCGTTTGTTCGATATTCTTTCTGAGCTTCGTTTCTGCCACAAAATGGGAACCAAACCCCGTGCCAGGATCAGATTTCTTTGTCGCTGCTCGACGCGAACGAATGACCCATCACTTTAAGAAACCACCCCACCACAAGAGGTAACTCCAAGAACGGAAGGGCAGCAAGTCCTTGACAGATTGTCCTGACACTTGTTGCAGCAAGTCTGTCATTGTGACATTTGTTGACGTAAGCTCTGACATGGTCTGACATATGATTGGACCATGCAATCTAATATTTGTTGTGGGACGTGGGACAGACTGACATGTAATCTTGCATGTGTTCTGACATGTATATAATCTGAAATGTGTTCTGGCATGTATTCCGGCGTGTGTTCTGACCGACATCAAGTCTCACATGTGTTTTGGCACATTGTTTGGCATGCAACCTTTGTTCTGACATATGAGCTGACATGTGTGCTGACGATGAAAGGTGACGTTCGTTTTGGCATGTAGTTTGACATGTGTTCTGACATCAATGCTTGCGTGTGTTTTGATACTTGTTCTGACATGTCTTCTGGCATGTATTCTGACACCCGTTCTGAAATCAAGTCTGGCACGTGTTCTCAAATTGGTTCTGGCATGCCGCAAAACTGACATATGCTCTGACGATGCAATCTGACATTTGTTCTGGAATGCATTCGGACATATGTTGTGACATCAAGTCTTGCATGAGTTTCGATGTTAGCTGACACGTGCTCTGACGACGTAAACATGTATTCTGACATATGCTGTGACATCAATTCTTGCAGTCTTGCACGTGTTGTGACACACATGTTCTGGCATGTATGTATATACGGACATTTGTTTGACATCACAACTTGCATGTGCTCCGACACTTGTTCTGACATGATTCTCTCCCATAAACCGACATGTGTTTTGTTTTTGCATGTTTCTGACGTGTGTTGTGACATCAAGTCTCTGTTAAAACATCAACTGCGCATGTCTTCTGACAAGGTTCTGACATGTTTTGAACCGCTCTTCAGCCGTAGTGGATGTAGGTTCCAGGGGGCTTCACATTTTTTTTGCAAACGGTCCTAGGGAGCGTCTCCTCTAAATCTATTTAAATTTACATAGTTTCTGTTTGTTGGCATGAGGCATGTTGGCCTGACATCGTTTAGCGGTAGCTGCTCGGCCCGTTCACGTGTTTCGTTTGCGAGGACAATTTGCTGGCATGGCAAAACTTGCAAAGCCTGCCCAATGCCGTGAACGAAGAGCCATGACAAACTCCCTGCCTGCGCCTCCAACGTGAGTGGCGTTTTGTAACGCGAGCGTTTCCCTCAATGATTTCTATATTGTTACAATGTATACCATTAAGTCATAGCTCTCAAATCTTCGAACTGTGCTGGGTTGAAACAATGAATTGAAGAAAATGTTCGCGTTACAATGGAAAAGACAAAGTCAGACTAAAGTTGAACAATTCGAGACTGATTGTTTAGCCAGGGACTGTCTTTAAAACGGGAGTCATGGTTTTGAGACACCATGGGCCAAGCGGCCCAAAGCAAATCGTATTTTTGGATCTCGGAAGAGATCAACAAGTCCGAGCTCCAAGGGTCTTGCCCAATTGATTTGAGTTTCTTGCTGAAGGATCCTTTCTTGGGTACAAAGGGCATTTCTACTAGCAAGGACGCTACGAAGGGGGCTCCTGGCATCGCTACGAACGGAGCATTCTTACTACTGTACTAGAACCAGAAGCTAAACAAGACCATTCGACACTCCGAAGGTCGTTCTTTCCAGGTGGCGAGGTCGGCAGGATGCTCCACGGTGCTCCACGGTGAGAACGGTCTGATCAATCAGACCGTAAAGCTCCACCGTTTTTCCGAAGGGTCCCGGAGGTTGGAAGACATCGACGTGCCAAACCTTGAGATGTCAGGAAATCGGAGCCGGCATCGCTACGAACGGCAGAAAGGACGCTACTAGTAACAAGGGCATTAATACTAGTACTACTAGTAACAAGAAGCTAGTTGCTTTTCGGTGTTTCACACCACCTCGCTTTTGGCAGATTGGAATGGAGTCGGATGCGTTAGGGAACTACCTCCTGGACCCTTGCAGAAGCCTGCGGCAGTGTGACGCATCGAGAAGGGGAAAAGACACGGGCCAGTTCTGACCTCTGTGGCCAAGTGCGTTGACTGCGCCAGCGCATCTGCGCCAGGCCAAGCAGCGCATTTGGGAGACTCTGTGGCCATGATGCGGAGGCACAGAGCAAACAGCGCGGATGCGAACTCGCGTGACGAGTTTGCGAACTCGCGGATGCATGTCCTCTTACAAACTCGATAAAGATACCTCAAGCAAATCATCACATGAGAACGATCTTTTTATGACTGGTTTTATCTACCTACATATACAGAGCACAGGGTAGATTCGAGATGATTCGAGACCCGATTCTGAAGCGGTTGTAATGGCTTCCCTTGAGTAAATGTCCAAGGTAAACACCCTTGAGTTTAGAGAGAGATCGGAATCATGTTTTTGAGAAGGTCATGAAGTTTGACTTATTTTGACTTTATAGAGTTTCACTGTGCAGAATGTGTGCCAAGAGACACCCGTTTGATTCTTGGTGTGTGATTGTCCATGGTCCCCACCACCTGTGCTGAAGGGGCCCCCTTCTTCAAATAAAGCATTGTTGGTAGAAACAAGTGTTGGGTGTTTGGGTTGTTTTATAATATCCGCTCAGAATTAGGATGAATTAGGTCTAAGACGAGTTGAGCAATTTGTCTATTTTGCGGAGCTTTGCGAGTTGGTCTCATGTGGTGGTTTATGGATGTTTTATTATGCCAACTGATGGAACGATGTGAAGGGATTGGTTTCAATCTCAAGCCAGGCTGGGGTGTGGTTTCCCCTTCTCTTGGATTTGGCCCCAGACGTCCCCGTTCTAGGCAGTGCACAACATCAGGCACAGGGTTTCACAGGAGGTTGGGAGGCTAGAGATTCTGTGGCCTGTGGAACGAAGGCTGGGCACTGCTGGCTATGTGGCGCCAGAGGTTTTGGACACCCGAACCTTGGGAGAAAGTCAGAGAACGTGTTGCGGCCACAGAAAGGACAAAGAATGACATGAATCATGAATCTGACATGAACTCAAAGTAACGCACTGAATACATGTGTTCTTCTTACATGGTCGGTGAATTTCCGAATGTCTTAGCCTACTTGGGGCAAAGGGCATCGCTACTAGGAACAAAGGCCGCTACTAGGAACAAAGGGCATCGCTACGAATGTCTACTAGTAAGGCACTTGTTTCTACTAGCTTCTCGTTACTACTAGTAAGGCACCTGTTACTACTAGTAAGGCATTTGTTACTACTAGTAAGGCACTTGTTACTACTAGTAAGGCACTTGTTACTACTAGCGTGGCACTTATGGTCGCCTTGATGTTTCCTCAGTTCGGGTCTGGTGACTTTGCGCGCGCTTTTGACGTTGCTTTGGCACCTGGAGACGCTGTCTGCGCAGCTGTCAACGAGATCCCCTTCCGGTCTTGGATGAACAAAGTGCCCGATTCGTGTGAAACAACTTGGAAACGTGACTTGGAAGCGTGTTCCGATTTCGATTTGTATGTTTGTTTGTGCAGTTTTTTGTAAGGTCGGAAGGTTCATTGGTGTGTGGGATGCGTTGGATGCTGTGCTACCGGCATTGTTCGATCTTTTTCTTTGAAGCTGCGCTTGACAGGCCGACAAGGCTCAGGTCAATTTGCAGCTGTTGCTGGCGAGACAGTGAAGTGTCCAAAATGATCCCAGCAGTGTAACATGATGATACATGATGCATTTTTTGCTGTACACAAGAGAGGTGTTGTGAACTTATTGGTGCCAGTTTGTTGCGTCTGTTGGAGGTGCGTCCGGGGGTCGCCACGGTGACTAGGGCTGTGCCGTGACTGGTCGCAGGCTGTGGGGCTGTCGGGTGGCCCTTTGCAGGTGACGACTGCACTGCAGTGCCTCTAAAGCTGGGGAAGTCTTCATTTCGTTTGAAAAGTCTCGTCATGTCTCCATCGTAGGTCTTTGGAGATTGTCGAACTTCTTAAAGGGAAGTCTCGAGAACGAAGCGCTCGTTTCGGAAGCCCGTCTTACTCGAGCGAAAGTTTGTTTTCGGCTGGCTGCTTGCTACCGGAGGAGGGCGCCCCGGAGCGGTTGTGTTGCTGGAAGTTCTGCCGAAAACGTCACGCAAGTGCCCTGCAAGAGTGTCACGCAGGGCACTCTCGTGCCCGACGATCGTCTCGCGCAAGAGCATCCGGATCCCAGTCCGAAAGACCTTCCCACAAGAGGCTGACTCACAGTGTCGTGTCCCTGTCCCACAAGAGCGAGTGTTGTATACGAGTGTGTCACATTTGTTCAATCTTATTCAATCTTTTTCCGAGGAAGCCCGGGCTATGGAAGCCTCAGTTTCTTGGAGATACAACTTCAACATTGCTTTGCTCAGAGTGAAAAGCATGAAGAAGGGTCCTTGGGGAAGCATGTGTTTTCGATGTTGTGCCATGCTTTCTAAATCGCAACCCAACACTTGAAGATCCAAGTGTATTTCTTTCCGTTTCGCAAGGGCCGACCACAGAATTAGTCAGAATCGGTCCTCGGATTATTCCGTTTCCATCGTTTCCCAGGTGGCGTCTTCAGCGTGGGCTGTGTAATGTTCCTTCTTTACTCGGGCATCGAAGCCTTCCGAGACATCAACTCCGGCCCCTTGACCAGAATGCGTGAACAGAAATGTGTGCAATATGTAGGGAAGTGTCGAAGTCACGGTGTGGACTCGGGTCTTAATTTCGGTGCACCCGGTGGAACACATTATTTTAAAGTCATTGTTTAATTCTATACATCGAAGCCTTCCGAGACATCAACTCCGGCCCCTTTGTGTTAATTCTTATACATACAAGAAGCTACTAGGGGCTCCTGGCCTTACTACTAGGAACAAGAAGCTACTAGGGGCAAAGGGCATCGCTACTAGGAGCAACAACGCTACGAACGGGGCTCCTCACATCGCTACGAACGGAGCATTCTTGCTACTAGAAACGAACGCCGGTGGGCCGCGGAACGCATCGCCCCAGGCGCCACCCTTCAGCGGACGATGGCTGGAAAAGCCCGGTTCAATCACCCAAAGGCTAAGCAGGTGCGGAGGATGGAGGTTTCTTGCTGCACCAAACCTGGAGCGGGGACAAGGGCTCTAACATCCTTCTCTCATAAGTTTCGTTGTTTACCTAATAGCGATGGCCTCCCCCTTAGTAGCGTCCTTGTTACTGGCCTCCAACCTAATAGCGATGGCCTCCAAGCTACTAGCAATCATGGCAAAGATGGCGATGGCCTCCTGCTTTCTTTATTTGTTCACGGCAAAGTGACAGGTGCGCAGTGGCACCCAGCATTTGCTTCGGAAGATGCTGGCCCCCAGCCCGAAGAAACGGCCCAAAGCGCACAAGAGTTGCAAGGCACGTGGCGGGGAGTTCTTTGTGGCATTATTGGCCAAACAAATACATGACATTGGATCGTTTTGGCATGATGCTTTTCATGGTGCGACTCATAAAATTACAACAATAAACTGCTGTTTCTAGAGAACATGATTTACCCAGCCACAGGGCCATCGCTAGTAGGTTGGAGGCCATCGTGGTTGGAGGCCATCGCTCTTAGGTTGGAGGCCACTAGTAGGTTGGAGGCCGCCGCTAGTAGGTTGGAGGACTGAAGAAGTGCTCGAGTCTTGAGTTGGTCCGTCCCTCCCTTCCAGGCATTGTTCAATCTGGGCGATGAAGAGGCTCACAATCCCTTGCATTCGATGGTGTTCAGCTCGCCGATAGATGGATCTTGAGCGAAAGCTGATGTCAGGTGAGAGAATCTCCTTCAGCACTCAAGGCAGGGTAGTCATTTTTGACATTTGGGTTCTTTCTGTCAACACAAAGGACTCGCGGGGGGCACCAAGAAGCATTGCGCAGGCGATCGAGAGCTTACCCGAGCAGGAGACCGACAGTGGCAGTGACCTGTCCGTTTTGAGAGTGACAATCCCTGGTGATTTCGTTTCATCTGATGTGTTCTACTACTAGGAGCAAGAACGCTACTAGGAACAAAGGGCATCGCTACTAG